TTAAGAAAACTCAAAAAAACTTTTTAAAAATAATTTTAGCAGGCAAATTTGCCTGCTAGACGGTTTAAGGGATAGTAAAATTTATATATAAAAAAAAAATTTTTTATCCAGGATTGCCTATTAAATGATAAATTTTAAAAACTATGTAATTTGATTGGTTAATTATCACGAAAATCGCAAAATATGGTGTTGAGTCAATAGAAATCAATTAAAAACTTTAAACAAGGATAACTTATTAACAAAAACTTAATCAAATTTAATAAATTTTTTTTTTAAATTAATTCTACAAGTTGTAAAAATTATTTTAAAAAATTTTTATTAAATTTGGCCAAGGTTTTGTCAAGTTATTCTTATGAAAAATTTTTATTATAGACTCAATCCTCACATACAGCATCACAGGAAAGAATGGCATCATAGAAGCCTCTATCGGTCCTGGGTGAAGCCTGAGGTTGAGAGTAAACCCACATTATGTAAAAAGTTCAGGCTTCGCCCTGTTGGAATAAATTTACTCATTCGAATATTCGTAATCTTTTTAGAGTGATATCAAATACTGTACAGTGTCACGTTTGTTTGCAATTTGTCCAATCAGTAACGTCTAATTAAAACAGCGAAAAGTGTACTAATACCGTGAGCACTTCTAGTACTGTAGCTGTTAAAATATGGAGCTCCCCGCTTCCGTTAAAAACCTAGAGTTACCCGACGCTGTGAAAAATATTGAGCTTCCAAGCGTTGTAAAAAATGTTCCAAATGTTGTTATGAACGTCCCTACTGTTGTGAGGAACAATGTTCCAAACGTTGTAAAAAATATTCAAGTTCCTATAAATATCAACGCCCAAATGTTTTCATGTAAGTGTTCCTAACTCATTTTATAATCGCACCTTTTTTGATTTATTCTTGGTTAATTTACAGCATTCGCTACAAGTGCCTTTACAAGCGTCACGACCTTGACGAAATCAATTCAACAAAAGGTCGAAGAGACAACAAAAGATATGCAGCAACAACATCAAGAACTTATGAGACAAGTTAAAGAAGAAACACTTGAGCCGAAAGCTGGAACCGGTATGATATTTAATCATTTAAAGTTTTTCAATCTTTTACGTTTATAGAAATCTTTCCACTTTGTTAGAGGCTGTTCCACCATGGATTGGACTTCCGAATGAGGAGGAACTTAAAGAACGTATACTAGCGTTGTCTCAGGTATTTTATCTTTTTATAATTTTTATTATTGCTGTAAGCATTTTCTTACTTCCATTTTTCTTTAACAGGATAAGCGCAATTTTACTATTCCTCCACCCGAAAATACTAATTTTCAATTTGACATAAATATTTATTCTCGGACAGCTATGGCAACTCTTAAAGCTGATTCTCGCTTAAATCAAATGCGATTTGAGTTGGTTCCTAAAATGTGATTTTTATTTTTAATTGAATTTTTTTTTTATTGGCTTTTTGCTTTGTTATAATTTATTTTCTTTGTATATAATTTTTTTTTTTTTTTTTTTTTTAAAAAAAAAAAAGTGTATCAGAACCAATATTTTGGAGAAATTATTTTTATCGTGTATCTCTTATTAAACAAACTGCACTAGGTTCAATTGATGGCGTGGTTTTAGAAAATGAGGTTTTCTCAAAAAATTCTACTGAAATTTCAGAATCTATGCCTAATAATCTTGAAATGAAAAAGGAGGTTTGTATAAATTTTATGTTTCAATAACTATTTCGATACCCAGAAGTTAAGAAATTTTAAAATTTATTAGGACAAAGAAAATCATGATCTATCTAATAAAGAGGTGATATTTGATGCCACAAAGGATGAAGGTATTTATTTTGTTTTCTTCATTTTGCTATCTTTTTGTTCTTGAATTATTCTTATATACATTTTTTGATAGATGCCTGGATTGAAGATTTTGAAAGTGCAGCTGCTTTAGTGGGTTCAGATGGTGATGCAATAGAGCCTGAAAATTGGGAGGAAGAATTAAAAAAGCAGATATCTTCAACGTAATCTTTAATCTGATAAAATTTTCTGATATTATTAAATCATTTAAAACTTATAGCACAAAGTTACTAATTCAATTTTGTAAACGAAGCAATATTAATTTAAGTTTAGCAACAATTTTTAATATTTAAAATCATTAATTAATTTATTTTAATAGAATCGCATAATAGTTAACTATAAATTTAATAAACAGTATACTGGTATATACCAAAAAGCAATTTTTTTGGTTTATTATAATAAGTTATTACTAGATAGCAAAAGTAAGAATTCCGTTTCTCATATCCCGATAATATGTATTTCATATCTTCGATATCAGTAGTATACGATTTAATTGATTCGAACTTTGGGATTTGGACCATTATAGGACATGATATTGTTTGGTCTTTACTAATGCTATTTAATCATATTTGGTTTAATTCCAAGGGGTATCGAATGGATTGGAACCATTATATTACTCTTTGATGTGGTCTAGTTAATGTTGTATTTAGCGTGGTGGCTTTAGAGTTAGTTTTTATTTTGTACTTCTCTTGTATAGTCTTAGTATTTTGAAACTTGGTAGCGAAATTAATTTATTATGCATGAAAATTTTATGATCATAATAGCGATAAAATCAATGAGTATACGTGGGTCAACGTGATAGTCCACGATTACAAATTCTGCGGTGACTTATAAATAATACTTTAAAAAAAACGAAACAAAGGAAATTTAATTTTATCACAATAGTCTATATCCGCCAATAACTTTATTGCATGTCAACATAATTTCACTACCAATCATTAGAAAATTTTGCAGATTCCTGCTTAAACGGATTTACTGCTTTTCTGTTCGAGCAACGGCTAGAACTGTGTCAAAATCAGAATTCTGCGCACCACAGGTTTCTGGCTGGACACTTTAAATGATGACAGGCAGAAACTTAATTTAAAAATGGAATTTAGTATTATTTTGCATAATCTGGGCAATTAAAATTGAGAATTAGGTTAATCATTACGATCTTATTGTAAATGACTATTTTTAAACAAGTTATTTGGCGCGAGTTGCATACGCTACTAAACTAATTTATCAGATATGCGGTTGAAACATCATATAGTCACTTCATTCTCTAAAATAGTCACGCATATATTAAACTTATCTTTGTAATCGCATCCTTTTGTGGTGTGTGATTATAAAGGCCATCTCAACTTTGATAAAGCTAAATTTAAATATAAAACTTATATAGTAAGTGATTCATCTCATTATCAATATCATTTTATTCAACATTATTATAAGTCCAGGAATTCAGCCACAATGTGGTATACTCGTGAACCTATTGAACGCCAATAATTGTTTCCAATGGGGGATCAACAAATTTCCAGAATCTCGGTGTGCTTTTGTTCTTCATATAAGCTTGTTAATTAAATGTTAAGTCATGCATGCATGACTATACCGTAAATGTATCTTAGTCTTATAAGATGGGAACGCAAAAGAACTACTCTTTCGAAAGAACAGTTTAAATAATAAGATAAATATTAATTAACGAGTATGACGGAATATATCGAAGCATTCTAAAACGACAAAAGAATTTCACTTATCGAACATCCGACTCTGTCTGAATTTGCGACAAGATGTGCATTTCTCATAAGGCAGATAGATACATCGAAAAGTCATCCAATCGTGAAAAGAGTCATTTTTGTAAAAAAAAAGTTCAGGGGCTATCATGCTATTCGTTAATATTATAAATTAATTCAAGAAAGGCATTACTTATTGCAGATGCATAATGTCAAGAGTAATATAACAATAATCTTATTATTGAGTATATAAAAGATGACTTCTATTATTTGATATTGATATCATAATAATTTAAACAATTTGGATGTGGCATAGTTTTATTTTTAGGCCTTTGGCCAGCACCTTCGTGAAATTTGAATTAATTTATTAAGAAATAAGGAATGCAGCTTGAGCAACAAACAAAATTTATGCATACCCGTTTTTGTTAATGCGCTGAATTTAAAATTTTCCGGAATGGGAGGAGTCAATATAATCAATTAAGGAAAAAAAAAACCTATTATTAACTAAAAGGGATTATTAGAAATGTCTGAAAGTCAGCCGCTTGAACTTCTAGCAGAGCTTGGAAGACTTATTAAAAATTCCGGGCATTAAAAAAGTATGTTCTTGACTCACTTTATTAAAATTTGGGTTGATGTATCAAAAAAGACACTTTAAACAAAGGACGTTTGGCTCAGTCAATTGCTGGCATTTTAAATAGGTTGATATATTATCTGAGGGCGAAAAATTCCTATTCATTTTCCCGGCCATGCAGGCCATTGTTTTAAGTGTCTTTTTTGATACATTAAAATAATAGAAATAATTTGAATCAAAAACGATATTTTCAAATGGACGTAAAATAAATATGTATTTTTTGCCTGGTATAGGGTATCAAAATTCTGAGGCGATCTGCGCGCGCTAAAAATAATTTTTTTTTGATTCTAAAAAGTGATCAAAGTCACAGGAACAAATGCACAAAAATATTTTTAGCGTGAACACCTCAGAATCTGAATATTCTAGCCAAGCCTAGGGATAGCTAGGGCTTAAGAATTTAATTAAAAATCAAATTTATTATATATATATTATCATAAAAAAAATTCCACTTACTTCTTTCGTATTTATATTTCAGTATTTTCTACAAAGTTACCTTCGATCCGTTCATAATCACGACCCCTTCTTTCAATACTCTACAATACATAATTAATAGTTATTATAATAATAAAATAGTGCCTAATTTATCATTTATCTCTTGAATATATCGATCCCTATTCCAATAGATAAAAAAAAAATGAAACGAGTTTTTAATCTTATCATCATTACTTTCATTGCTACTCTATCCATTTTTTGCCCTACTGAATCTGTGTCTTCCAACGAAACCATACCATTTAACGAAACCATACCCTTTAACGAATCTATCCCCTCTGTTCCACCACCCTCGGGGATCTGTTTAAAGTCACAAGTGGTTGCTAATGGTACTCAAATTAAAACTGGTGGTAACCCTAATGGATGGTGCTCCAGCGTAATCCAAGGACAAATTCCAACAAACGAATTTATGGTCTCCACTCTTATTATTAAACCTAAAGATGGATCTATTGTACCAGCAAATCAGAATTTTACTCTATCAATTAAAATAATCAACTTACAAACAGGATATTTTGCTGATCCTGATACAGAATACTATACCCAACCACAAGAACTTAACGAAGAAGGGATTATCAAAGGACATAGTCATGTTGTTATTCAAAAATTAACTGATGAAGACGAAGAGGTTGTTCCAAATCCTAATATATTAGCTTTTTTTAGAGGTTTAAATGATCCAGCTGACGATCGAGGTATATTGGAGACAGAAGTTGGCACGGATACAGAACCTGGCTTACCAACTGGTAGATACCGTGTGTGTACGATGGCCTCTACATACACTCATCAGCCAGTTGTCATGCCTATTGCTCCACGTGGTTCACAAGATGACTGTATTCGTTTCATCGTTATTGGATAGAATTAGTTTGTATTCATTATACTCTAACGTAGTATATTAAGTCTAATGATAATTTAATGTTATTTACATTGTCATTGGTTCCATTTGCATAAGATCGCATACAATTGTAAATGTACAAAAAGTTTTTTTAAAAAAAAATAATTGATGCAAGCCTTAACGTTAATTATCGCATATAAATAAAAAAATGTATTTACGCCATGACGAGTTATCTATACTTGATATCATATGATTAATTAATATTAATTACGCATATATACGTATAAAAATTTTAATTAGTTGATGCTAGCGAACAATGTCACGGCTGGCTGAAAAAGCGACCATAATATATGCGCGGATTGAATGCTAAGTCTCTCCTCCCAGGCATAATTAATAATCAGAACATGTGATATAATTATTGTTAAATTACGTACGTACATACGTGTACGTTCGATTATCGACTTTGCGGTAATGGGCTTAGCTTAATCGATAATAGATAAGTTAAAAGTCAGGTGACAAAATATAAATGCATTAAAGCTTTAACGCATCTCTAAAATAAACCCGCGCTCCCCGCACAAAAATTACTAAATCGCTGCAATCAGTTAAAATGCACAAACACAAAAAATTTATACAGTAGCATTAACTACTGAACGACTTTAATGCATATATGTAGCAAATAAAAAGCACTAATTATAGTAAAATGTTGTAAGGTGCATTTTTAATTCTTTTAAATTCTATGAAAATTTTTTTCACGTTGAGATTTAATTCAATCAATGTGACATAACACTGCAGATGATGGATTAACAAGTGATATCAGATATGATTATACAGCATAGAATGCGAATGGTAAAATAATCGCTAAGACTATGCCGTCATCTTGTTTGTGATTACGAGTTGAAACTGTAACACTAACATGACATAATTTTACAATCCCAACTTTTGCTTATTATACACACTCAAATAAGTAGTATGATTGATGTTGCAATCTAGGTAAAGATCATCTGAAACAAAAGAATTTTCACACCTCCAGTACGAAAGGTTTTAGAGGTCTGATCCGATGAATAGTATATTCGAATATTCAATGATATCCGAATATATAATTGTTTCACTGAATTGAATACTCGAATATAAAAATTTTTCACCAAATAATTCATTGAATATTCAATTAAATGCAAGTATGTTATAATCTTATATACTGATTGGTTAGCAATGCTAATAATAATGAGCCCAAAGTAGATGAGCAAGATAATCCTTATTAGTTAGAAGTTTTCTCAATTTATTTATTTTAATGTAGTTTTTTTTAAGTATTAATCTCATTTGTTAGTTTGTGTATTTAACCTCTCAATTACTCAGCTTCATAAATATTCAGTGAATATTCGAATACTTATTTTTCGACGCTAGTTTTAACGCGCCGTGGATCTGTGATTAACATTGTGACTCGTCAATATTGTAATCCAATAATGTGATTGCATCGAACAATAAGCGTAACGTAGCACGCATACAAAGACAATGGCGTATTAAAAAGATGTGCTCGGTTTAAGCTGCGCATGTACCGAATACATACATACGTACGTACGTATGAAAGTTTTCAAGTGATCGACAATTTTGACAGAAGTTTGAAATGAAGACAACATGATTAAAGCATGAATGATTTCCTTTATTAGCCACTAATCATCTATTGTAAATGTTTATCTTGAAAGATATATATTAGAAAGAATAATATTTCAAATCCTGTTTGAAAATGTCCACGATTTTTAATCTGATCTGCGTACGCATGCGTGTTATGCATTCGCTGAAGAATGTTAGTCAATTAAACACTCTCGGCATCATACTGTAAACTTTAACTAACATCAACTTTATCAACTTTTCACGTGAACGAACTACCATCAATGATATTGAATTAGTCATTATTCACAAGCGAGTGTTCCGTAAAGAAAAGTATACTAATGCAATAAATGTATTTATATTGTTTCTTCCCACGTATGAATTCTAATTTGTCATAACGGATATAATCTTTTCTAAAAAAAATAAAAAAATAATTGAGTGATTGCCATTTGTGATTTATGCAAGTCCCATCTAATATGACACTGACAAGCTTTTATTGATCTTCCTCACATTCATGAGAAAAAAAGACCTTTGGCTGAAATCTTATATAAAATAAGATACGTTATTGATTTTTCTTCGATTAAATAAAGCGAGAAATTTTTTTTTCATTATTTGCATACCGCCGATAGTATCCGAATTAACCAGTAATCTGTGCATCTTTTAACGATTGTTTTCTTGAAGGATAAAGTTCTCGAGGGCTGAACTTTCCAAATCTGATTCAAGCTCTAGCTGCAAATGTATTCTGGGAACTCGTCCCGTGTTTTTTTTTCGCATACATAATGACACATTTACATCAAACTAAATTTGTCTTAACAGTATCACCGAACTATATTAGTATACATCGACGCTTGATTTGTTAGGTAAAGGGGTTTATTGTGATGCACCTTATAATACATGCAATGTTCGTACAAGAGATCACTTCGAGGATTTCGACGTATAATCCTCACAAGATGTACGTCCACATGGACTTGTGATCGCGACTGAACGTAGTATTGCGGCGCATGTCTATCTCTGATTATCATTCGTGGATCGTTTTCTAAACTTTAACTTCTCGCTAAAATCTCTTCGGTTTAACCAATTTTGTTCAATCCTCCAATTCATAAATTTCTTCTCTCTATATTTATTTATTAATTTATTTTTCTTATATATAATGTTAACGATGTCACAGTCTCCTCCATCTGAAGTTCTACAAGAAATTTTTCATCATTTTGAGGATGACTCTTATGATTTACATTCTTGTGTTTTAGTTAATCGTATTTGGAGTGCAAATGCTGTTCAACTATTATGGAATAAACCTTTCCACCTTTTACTCAACAAAAAATTTAATTCTTCTCATCATCTAATCTCAGCTTATTTATCATGTTTAGACCCTGAAGAAATATATAATCTTGATTTGAATTTAATTCCTCAACGAAATTATATCCCTTCAAAAAATTTTACTCCTACTTTTAATTATCCTTCATTCTTAAGACATTTTGCTTATTTATCAATGATCGTTTCTGTTCAAGAATGGTGTGTGATTAATAATCTTTATGTAGGTGATGATAGTCCCATTATGCAAAAAATCATATTAGCTTTATTTCGTTTATTTGCTAAACACTCCTCGGGTCTTAAATCATTCTCTTTCGTTATGGATATGGATATTGACATTAATCATGGATTAAGTTATTATGATAATAAATTACAACATAAGACTTTAATTTTACGTGAACCAATAGTTCGACAATGGTTAAGTCAAATTAAAGAATTCGAATTTGCTGGCGATTTTGCTAGCGATAAAGATTTTCCCGTTTTGATGCAGATTTGTAAACATCTTATAAAGGTAAGATTTCATAATTTATGTTGATCTTTAAAAATCTCTTTAAACCATGTTACACATAAAATATTTATTTCTTTTTTTTTTCACGATTCAATGTTTTGAATAGATGGAAGTTAGATTACCAGATTTCGGTTATAATGATGATGATGAACATTATGATTCTAGCGCTGAACTTACTGCTCGTTTCATAGAATCACAAACAGAATTAGAACATTTCATCCTCCGTGATTGTCATTACCCTCAAGCACTAGGTACAGCACTCATACGTCAACAAAACACTTTACGTTATATACAATTTTGTGATATAGTGTTTGATAAATGGTGTCCTCTGGATTGGTTACCAAAATGTTTTAATCTTGAAATATTGGAATTCTGTGATTCTGAAAGTTTGAGTCCCAAAGTTTTGGCTCCTCTTAGATTAGCTCCGCTTACCAAACTTCGTTCTATAACTTTTAAGGAAGATCCTGTACCAGTTGATACTTTGGAATCTTTAATTTTAGCTAGTAAATGGAATTTGGAAGAAATTATTTTTGGATGGCCTGAAGATTGTAAACAAGATGGTTATGCTCATATATTAAATTCTATTTCGTTGAATTGTCCAAATCTTGTAAGACTTGGTGCTATGATCGGTCCAAATGAAATAGGTGAATTATTTGGAATTCTAAAAAGTTGTAGAAAATTAAAATATTTACATATTTATGGAAATGGTAGATCTTTTGATGTAAGTGGTATATTGCCAGAACTTGGAAAGATCATGCCTAGAACTCTAGTAGAATTAAATATATCAGCAAGATGGAGATTTATGCCTGATAGTTTAAGGCAATTTTTGGAAAATTTTGGTTTATTGGTCGAAGAACAACATGAGGTGTTCAAGAATGGTGTTGCTTTGAAAAATTTCGTCATAAGTATTTGCGATTTCATTAATGATGAACATCTGAGAATTTTGGTTAAACATTCGATGAAATCTTTAAAATTTTTTTCTTTGTGGAATAAAAAATTCATGGTAAGCGAAGCTGGAATTGACAAAGCAAGTCAATGGTTAAGAAAATCTGTTGTATAAAAAAAAAAAAAAAACCTATGTTATGTTGAATGTTTAAACTATCATTCACATTATTTAAGTTATTTATAAGATGTCGTTAGCATTTATATTTATGATAAAATTATTTTTTTTAAAAAAATGCGAAATATATAGTAACTTATGATCAATTTTTCGTAATATTGTATTGGATCTTTTTTTTTTTGAATGATGTAGCTATAAATTTAGCGTATTTTAACAAATTTTTAAAAAAATTTTATTGATGTGAAGTACTGTATATAAGCTTTTTTTTATTAAAATTTTCGTTATAAACTATAGTAAAAAATTTAATTATTATATTTTCTATTTTTTTAAAACTGTTTTCAGAAAATTTGCTTAGAATTTTGAATAAAACTAATGGATTGGATGTACCCATACTACCGGTAGTACAATGTACTACATTGTGACAGTTTTAAAGCTATTTATCTTCTAATTTAGCAAATTAATATGCTATTAAATACTTGTATAAAGTAACTTATATATGGGGCAACATATATTTAAAATTTAGTAGCCCTAAGTATTTTT